GCCCTGAGTCTCCGGAGAAGGACGGCATATAAATCAAATTAAAAAAACAAAACAAAACAGGAATAGAGTGTAAATGAGAAAGTCCCAAAATTTTGCTAGGTAATTCAACCAGAGATTTACAGTCAATCCCAAGATTGGCCTGGTAGAGCAAGGGTCTCCAACCTTGGCAACTTTAAGACTTATGGGCTTCAACTCTCAGAGTTCTTCAGCCAGCAAAGCTGAAGAGTTGAAGTCAACAAGTCTTAAAGTTGCCAAGGCTGGAGACCCCTCTGGTAGAGGATTGAATGCAGAGCCAGTGTTTCTCAGCAAATAGTAAAATACCGGATAGATACTGAAAGAGCTGTCTCAGTCACTTTGCATTTAAATTGACTTTGAATTAAAAAAGAACTTTTACATCAGGGGAGAAATTGGCTGGATAATCTTTCCTGGAATTTCAGAAGAGAACCTGGAAAATTCCACAGTCTTCTAGTTGCTTTCTTTGTCTTCCATCCTCAGCCTGAATGTTATTTTGGAAAAGTTTGGCACCGACAGATGTTCAGCTCCATTAAAAAGTATTGTCTTTGGATAAAAATCAGATTACTGCAAGATAGTATGTCTAAAATGCCAATGCCTGCTGAGACTGTAGCATGAAATTAATTGTAATGATGACTTCCCTTGAGCATTCTGGGACAGATAGTTGCTTTGGAATGATTGGTTAACACTTATTTGGTGAGATAAGGAAAGCAGCACTGAGTTAATTTCATAGAGTGCCTCTTTGTTTGCGAATAACTAAGAGAGGTGATGCATTTTCTTAGAATTCCAATGAAGCCTGCCTCTTCCTGGGCAGGGCTGAATATCAGTAGTCTCAAGGCATCATCTCTTTTCCTAGTAACTAAGTGGCAGGCAGATTGCATCATTATCCTAAGTAAGTGCTGTGCAAATTTGTTGGGCTAAGACATGTCTTTCAGTGGAATGTTGGGGGCCAAGCTGCATAGGGATGAAGAAGATTAAGAAGGGGTGTCTCAACAAAATAAATGCAAGAGGAGCTTCAGGCTTGCAGGGTGGAAGGAGGACAGGAGGTGATAGAAAGGAGGAGAGAGATGTGGTTCTGCTGAATTTGGTTGCTTGGAAGCAGGGGTGAGCTTCAAAAATTTTATCACGGGGTTCTGTGCCCGGTTGCTGGGTGGGTGTGGCCATGGTGGGCGTTACCTAGTCGGCCCCCTGCACCACGGTGGGGGGGGGCGGACTTTTTTTGCCCTCCCCAGGCTCCGGAGGCCTTCTGGAGGCTGGAAATGGGCTCGTTCCCAAGCTTCCGGTAGGCCCTTTTTCACCCTCCCTGAGCCTCTGTGTGTGCCCTGCACTTACCTGCATCCAAAATGGGCCACATGGGGATTCCTGGGAGGGGTGGGGTGGGCAGGGCCAGCCAGGAGTGGGATTTGTGGGTTCTCTGAACTGCACAGAACCTTAGCTAGAGGTTCTTCTGAACCACTGCGAGCCCCCAGCAGCCCACCCCTGCTTGGAAGGTGAGGGGACCTGGCTGCTAATATTGGGGAATGGGGAAATGTCATTGAAAGGCAGTAACATAGAACCCCACTTAAGAGGCATTGAATAAATTAAAGCCTCCCTGGAGCATAGTTGTCCATCCTCTTGTGAGGCCTGACCTGAGGATAGCCACCAGGTAGATCCCAAAGAACAGTTATGCATAAATGACTCTCAAAGTCATCAAGAATGATGAGTTATGGTGCAGGCACCTAATTTTTTTTTTAAAAAAACTGTTTTAATGTGTTTTTACTTGCCCATAGTTACAAGATGGACAGCTCTATAAATTGGTTAAATCAGTCAGTCAGTCAGTCAGTCAGTCAGTCAGTCAGTCAGTCAGTCAGTCAATCAATATAAATAAATGGCTTTGCATTGCAGAGGACAAATCACATCATGTGTAAAGCTTCAGTTGTTTCCCCGGCAAAGATTCCAATTTTTGGATTAGGGGGCTGGAGGCTAAAACCTACAAAGAACAACTGCAGGAATTGGGTATATCCAGTCTAATGAAAAGAAGGACTAGGGAGTAGCCATGTTCTAGTATTTGAGGGTTTGCCACAAAGAAAAGGAAGTCAACCTATTTTCCAAAGCACCAGAAGGCAAGACAAGAAACAATGGATGAAAACTAACCAAGGAGAGAAGCAGCCTAGAACTAACGAGAAATTTCCTAATGGTGAGAACAATCAACAAGTAGAACACCTTACCTTCAGAAATTGTGGATACTCTATCATTAGAGGCTTTCAAAAAGAGACTGGACAACTATTTTTCTTTCCTGCTCGAGCAGAGAGTTGTCTAGAAGACCTCCAAGGTCCCTTCCAACTCTATTATTCTGGGCTCTATGTTCTATGTTCAATCTGGTTGAATTGTACCCAGAGTATGTGTTTTTTTTCTGGTTTCAATTTTCTGTAAGGCACATAACATTTCTAAGATGAGATGGATAGCAACATAATTTTTGGAATGAAATAATTTTAGTAAAATGTTTTTTGTTCTGTTTATGACTATTAGTTCCCAGAGCATTGTTTTCTATTTATTGGACAGGAATGCTTCAATGGCTACTTGCAGGGAGGGGAAAACTTGGACCACTTAAACAGATAACACTCATTGTCAATTAAAGAGAGATGATGGTGAGGAAGTCTAATGGTGTATCTGATCCTTAATTCAAGAATCATCATAGTTTCATATCAAAACACCTGCAGTATATACGTAAAAGAGAGACTGTCATACACGGGCAACATTTTGCTTATTTAAGTAGAAGTTGACAAATATTTTTTGAGCACAGAAAAGTTGAATGCATGCTGATTGAGACATCTTTTTACAGAAAAAGCTATTGTTCCTAGGCATTGTTTTGGAGTAATGAGCCTTTAAAGTATGAATTTCTTTGGTACTTTTGAAGTGTAAGAATCTGCTTTTGAGTCTTCAAGTAAGCCCAAAGAAGAGCCTATTTGTTAATTCAAAAGGCAGGACTCTTAACTTTTTTTTCTTCCTAGCATTTTTCCTGCAAATGCAGAATGTCCTTTTTCGTATCAACTAAATGTTGATCCATTGGTTGCAATAGGAATTAACAACTGGTTTGTCACCTAAGCCTGACATCAAGGACTGAGAGAGAGTTACTGACCCAAATCACCCAGCTGGTTCTCGGGTCTAAGCCAGGACTAGAACTCACAGTCCCCTGGTTTCAATCCTGATGCCTTAACCACTGGACCAAGCTGGCTGTCAAAAGACAGGACTCTAATCACCATCATCATCTTTTAACAACCTCATAATCCCTTGCAGGGTGGAATCTGGGCAACTGAATGGAGCTAGCAGAGTGTTTACTGGCCGGATTCTCTTCCTGTCAGCAATGAGTTTGTTTAGCATATATATTCTCATTGTGTCCAGAGAGAGAAATATCTGCCTCTACCTAGGATCAAACTCATAGCCTCCTGATCGTGAGGCGAGAACTCTACCTCTAGGTCACTGCACCACTCCAAAAGACAGGACTCTAATGACATAAGCAATTTCATACCAGTAGTTGAGTTCCAGAGAAGGGATAAGGTACTTGTGCAATGATGGAGAAGTTGGCTTGAAAGACAAGCCTACTAGTGGATACTCACAGATTTGTGAAATGAGAGACTTGAGTTCAATTGTGTTTAGTTAAGACTATGTTAAGATGTGATTCTGTCAACTCATCTCAGAAGGCTTTGCTTCAAGTATCTCACATCCCTATCTCCAACATTTCAAAACTTCCAACTATGACAAAATAATTGGAAGCTTGCTTGCTTTCTTTAGCAATTTCCACCACTGGAAAAAGCCCATTTTTCTAGTAATTATGCATTTCCCTGCTTCCCTACTGTGTAGCTGTCCAATTTGGGATTGTTTTCTCCAGAGAAAGTTGGAAGCCTGTATGTCTTTCGCTGCATATGAATGTAGCCTGCAAAATACTGTAGGTTCCCAGATTCTCCATTGAGAGTGGAGACAGCAGCCAGTGTGGGTACTACTCATCCAATCAGATTGAAGGACTGAGTCAGCCAACAACTTTAAGTCCCGCCTCTGTTGCCGGGCAGACCCAGCTTTGGCTCAGTCCTTCAGTTGGACTGGCGTGTGGGTCTGTAGCTCTGACTGCTTTTCTACAAACTATCTCTCCTTTTTGGATTTATTGGTCTTTTTGAACCTGGACTGTTCTGACCTTTCTTCTGCTTCTCCCTGTGGACTTGGTTGCCTTTGGACTTTGTAAGTTTTTTTGCCCTGTGTTTTCCCCCTTTAAAACTGTTAAGCCTCTGCTGTGAGGGCTTTTTGTTTTCTCTCTTTGGGGACCCCTGGGGGGGCTTCCTGGGGCTCCCTGCCAGGCTTGGCAGCTACCTCCTCAGGTCCTGACTCTCCTTGCTGACCGCTTCCCCCAGGGCCTCCTAATTGTCTTCTCGGCCGTTTTTTCGCGCCGTTTCTGTGGCGGCGGCCATTTTGAAGCCCTCCGCTCCAAAACGCAACTTCTAAACTTTAAAGAACTTGCTGCCTGCTGCTTTGGACTTTGAATCCACCTCCCTGGAAGCTAGATTGCCTGCCCTTCGTGATTACTGGTGGCTTCTTCTTGGTGCTTGCCCACGCTGCTGCTAGCGCTTATTTCAAGCCGCTCCGACCATCACCTGCTGAGTTAATTAGCGCAGCGCTGATAGCCGACCAACAGCTGAGCCGGGGCTGCAGGCTCCCTTTGAAGAAGCGGTGGCTTCCAACGGAGCTCTTTAGTGGGAGTATTTTCGCTGCTGCCGTGCCTCCCTAGTTGTCTTCCCTGCTGCAGCCCTGGGGGGCTTCCTGCCTGTTTATCAATTAAGTTGGAGAGTGGGGTTTTCGCGCCCCCCCCCAACTTCCCTGCGACTGTCTCTGAGCTGTTTTTTCTCCTTCTGAAAGCTGTGGTCAGATTTAAAGGGCAACTGTCTGGACTGTTCTTGACTGGGCTGGCTGTGCGGGTGTTCGTGGAGCTTCGCGCCCCCTTCCTTGGCTGTTGAACTTACTGTATCCCCGCTGCCCTTGCCAGCCTCCATTGCTGCTTTCTTCTTGCAGCGGCCATTTTGTGGAGTGGCTGCGCTCCCCCTGCTGTTCGCCCTCTGGATCGTGTACCCAGGGCTGGAAATTAGTGGAGTTGCCGCGCTCCCCTCCGGGTCCTCACTTTGTGACTGCTGCTTTTGTCTTGGGATCTGTCATTATGCCAAAGTCATTGGCCAAATCCAAACATGGCCGTAAGCATAGCTCTGCTTCTCAGAGGCAGTCAGAGGATGAATCTGCCTCGTTTCAAGATCCAGCGCAGTCACTTGTTGCCCCGTCTTCTCACGCCCATCACAAGAACAGAAAGCATGGCAGTGCGCTGGAAAGAGTGGAAAAACGGAGGGACAGAGTCCTTACCCAACTTTGCGCCAAGGCGAGCTCTGATCTTCAGTCTTCAACAACTTCTGCTCCGCTGCAGTATTCTCGGCCGGCGACTCCGGACCAGTTGTCTCTCAGGGACTGCCCGGTCACCATCTCCACTTCAAATTTGTGGGGCTCTGTTCCGGCGGACCTTGTCACTGCACCGCCTGCGAATGAGGAGCTTCCTGATATTCCACCTCCTCTTGACACCTCTGCGGTTCCCTTGGTTCCTGTCCTGCCTCAGGAGGTGGTGAGTTGTCCCCTGTCTTTCGACCATCTGCAAAAGATGATTGAGGCTGCAGTGCAAAAGACTTTGGCAGCGGGTCGTCGTCCATCCAGTGTTGCTGGATCTGTTCGGTCGGCCTCACCAGAGCAGCCTCGTTCTTCTGGTCATGCACCTCCCAGGCCACCTCGCTCTCCTTCCTGCTCCCATGCTGGTCAACTCTCCCCCCTGTCGGATGCGGACATCAGTGACAACGGTGACTCTGGGTTGTCAGATGACGAGAACCTTCCACCTGATCAGCCGGTGTCTACGGCCCTTTTTCCACAGGCCTTGTTTAGGTCTCTTCTGTTCAAAGCCGTCAATACGGCTCGGCTTTCCTCCCCTGATTCCCATCCTTCTGTTTCTGGGCCGTCTGGAACTTTGGACCCGATGTTCGCTGAGCCTCCCAAACCGATTACAACCATTCCTACACCTCCACTTTTCCTGGATGTCGTGAAACGGCAGTGGACTTCCCCAGCGTCAGCTCCTATCCCTTCTTCATCTGACCGTACTAATTTCCAGGTCGCATCTGACCTGGACACTCTTCTGCAGCTCCCGTCAATAGATGCTCCCATCGCTGCTCTTCTCTCTTCTGCCGCTGTGCCGGGCGATCCTGCTGAGAACTTACGACCTGATGAACGCCGTGCTGAGATGGTCCTCCAAAGGGCCCATCTGGGGGCAGCATGGGCCATTAAGGCGGCCTCTACAGCATCTTTCTTTAACCGCTCCACGTTGTTGTGGCTCCGCCAGTTACAAGAGACATTGTCACCGGAAGATGCTCGTATTAAGCATGACCTCAATAAGATTGTAGCTGCGGTTCAGTTTTCAGCGGACTCCACTCTCAGCGCTGCTCGTTTTGCGGCCAAATCGCTGGCCTCTGCTGTGACGGCTCGCCGTTTGACCTGGCTCCGACATTGGCAGGCGGACGCCAGGCATAAATGGAAGCTCGCCTCGGTCCCATTTGGGGGGGTCCCGTTTGTTTGGGGACGCCTTAGATCCCTTTTTAACTGAAACCAGAGACAAACGGAAGGTTTTGGCGGCGGTTTTCCGCAGGGGGGATTCCCGCTTCTCTCCATATCCCCCCCGACCCCACCTTCGAGGTAACTCTGTTGGTGGGCCTTCTTCCTCCTCCTTCCCCTCGCCCCGGCCGTACATAAATTTTGGCAGACAGCGGGGCTCGCAAGATAGGGGATTCCGGGGTAGATCGTTAGGGTCTAAGCGGCCCTTTCGAGGGGGAGGAGGTCGTTTCATCCGTCGCCGGCGCTAATTACATTTCTAATCCTCCCATTGGCGGCAGATTGGCCATTTTCGTAGCCGCCTGGGAACGGTCCACCTCCGATCAGTGGGTCTTAGCCACTCTTCGTTCGGGTCTAGCTATCGAATTTGTCTCCACCCCCCCTGACTCCTTTGTCTGTTGTCCGATTTCTCGTAATTTGGAAAGAAAGTCCCTCATGGACGCAGCGATTCACCATCTCCTGACCATTAGAGCTATTCAACCCGTCCCTGTGGGCCAGGAGCATCAGGGTTTCTATTCCAGGGTTTTCCTGGTTCCCAAATCCTCAGGGGGGTGGCGCCCTATTTTGGACCTGAAACGCTTAAATAGGTACGTGGTGTACCGTAAATTCAAAATGCAATCCTTACAAACTATTCTAGCCGGTGTTCGGAGGGGCGATCTCCTCTCTTCCATAGACCTTACAGAGGCTTATTTGCACATCCCTATCCTTCCCTCCCATAGACGTTTTTTGAGATTTTGTTACGGGGGGGGTCCATTATCAATATAGGGCGTTACCTTTTGGTCTCTCCTCTGCCCCCCGTACCTTTACGAAGGTGCTGGCTGCTTTAGCGGCATTTCTTCGTGTCCGTTCTGTTAGACTTTTATGCTACCTCGATGACATTCTCTTGTTGTCCCCTTCTGTTGCTCAGGCTGTGTCGGACGTTCGTCTCACGGTAGAGACGTTGGCGGCCCATGGTTTCTCGATTAATTTAGATAAGAGTCACCTCTCTCCTTCCACCAGTTTGGTCCATTTGGGAGCCCTGATCGACACGGTTCAGGGTAGGGTGTTTTTGTCCCCCGATAGGCAGGCGGGTATCCGCCAGTTAGTTTCCAAGGTGGAATCCTGCAGGGCCATTTCCCCTCTTGTCCTCTCCCAACTGTTAGGGAAAATGATTTCTGCCATCTCCATAGTTCCCTGGGCACAACTGCACGCACGGGAACTTCAATGGTTTCTCTTGCCGTTGCAGAAGGCGGGCAGAGGCACTTCATTCAGGCCGGTTCCGGTCCCTCCGGCGGTTCGTCGGTCCCTCCGGTGGTGGCGTTCCCCGGCCCTAGCTGCGGGGTCGTTTTTCCTGGAGCCTCAGAGGGTGATAGTAACCACAGATGCCAGCCTCCTCGGTTGGGGGGCCCATTGCCAAGGTCAGTTGGCTCAGGGCACTTGGAGCCCGGCAGAGTCCCGTCGCCCTATCAACTGGCTGGAACTACAGGCGATCTTCCTGGCTCTCAGGGCATTCCGAAGCCTGGTCTCCAACTCACACGTCCTCGTTCTGACGGACAATGTTGCAGCAAAAGCGCACCTGAACAAGCTGGGGGGGACCAGGTCGAGGTCACTTCTTCTGCTGGCCCTGCGACTGGGATTCTGGGCAGAGCGGCACCTTTGCTCCCTTCGGGCAGAGCATATTTCCGGAGCGGACAACTCCCAAGCGGACTGGCTGAGTCGTCGTCGAGTGGACAACGCGGAGTGGCGCCTCCATCCCCGATTCTTCCAGGAGCTGTCTCGGAGGTTCGGCATGCCGGTGATCGACCTCTTTGCAACGCACACGAATGCTCAGCTGCAACAGTTCTTCGCCAGATTCCCAGATCCTCAGGCGGCGGGCGTCGACGCTCTTCGAATTCCATGGCCGGCGGGTCTTCTCTACGCCTTTCCCCCGACCTCACTCCTGCCCAGAGTGATTCGCAAGATCTTATACGAGCGGGCGGAAGTGGTCCTTGTAGCGCCTCATTGGCCCCGGAGACCCTGGTATGCGGACCTTGTGTCCCTCTCGGTGGCCCCATCGTGGCGCATCCCCCTCGAGGACGACGTGCTGTTCCAGGGCGCTCTATTACACCCGGACCCCGACTGGCTCAACCTGACCGTTTGGCGGTTGAGCGGAGCACTTTGACAGCGGTGCATATCCCGCCGGACGTTATTCAGACATTGCAAGCCTCGCGCCGCGCTTCTACGGATCGCATTTACTCTGCCACCTGGCGCGCCTTCTGTTCCTGGTGTTCCGAGTCCGGTGTTTCCGCTCTTCAGCCATCCATTGTGGACATTTTATGTTTTCTGCAGCAGGGCCTGGCACAAGGCCTCTCTTCCAACACGTTACGCAGGCATGTGGCCGCGTTGTCCTCGGTCCTGGTCTGCGGGTCTTTGCCATCATTGTCGCATCATCGCCTAATCCGGCGTTTTCTGCGGGGAGCTACTAACTTGTGTCCTCCTGTAGTGCACAGATACCCTACATGGGATCTCCCCTTAGTTTTGGAGTCGCTTATGGGTCCCCCGTACGAACCTTTGCGAACTACCAGTCTCCGTCTACTCTCCTGCAAGGTCTCCTTCCTAGTGGCGATAACGTCAGCCCGTCGTATTTCGGAGATAGCGGCATTATCCATCCGTTCTGACCTTTGTGTCTTTCATTCGGACCGTGTAGTTCTCCGTTTGGACCCCACCTTCGTCCCGAAAATCAATTCGGTTTTCCACCGCTCGCAGGAAATCATTCTGCCTAATTTCTGCCCGCGCCCTGTTCATCCACGGGAGCGAAGATGGCACTTGCTCGACGTGCGACGGGCTTTGCGGATCTACATTAAGAGGACATCTGTTTTCCGTCGTTCGGAGTCGCTGTTTGTCTCTTTTCTGCCCGTTTCCCAAGGGTGCAAGGTCTCCTCAGCTGTGGTCGGTCGTTGGATTCGACTTACCATCGCTTCGGCCTACGACCTTCGATCCCTTCCGCGTCCAGCTCGAGTGACCGCTCATTCCACCCGTAGCGCGGCTACGACTGCTGCATGGGCGACCCAGGCGCCCTTGTTGGAGATCTGCAGGGCGGCTACGTGGACTTCACCGGTGCCCTTCGTACGCCATTATCGATTGGATCAGTTTGCATCGGCGGAGGCGGCTTTCGGACGACGGGTGCTTCAGCGTGTCGTTGCCGGGGAGACTGTTGTTGCCGACCAGCCGGTTCCCACCCTGAACTCGGGACAGTGAACTGGGGTATGTCCCACACTGGCTGCTGTCTCCACTCTCAATGGAGAAGGGGCGTTGGTCCTACCTGATACGCTCCTTCTCGTTGAGTGGAGACAGCAGCCAGACCCCCCCTTCTCCGGCTGTTTTTTTCTCTGTCTGTTTTACT